TTTGGAGTCCCCAGTGTAGGCATGGCTGCCTTATTACTTCGTTTGAATGACAGCAATAAACGAGCAATGAACGGTAGATGGACCCGAGAATATCCTAGCCACAATGACACCCCTAAACGACTCATTCAAGCTGTTCATATACGGAGCTATCCAAGAACCCATGTAAGGCGCCGCGATGACGTTACCGGGAGTGCCATACCCAGTTTGATGGCTTGCTCGTGGTTCACTATATCTCTAATATTTCCCAGACAATCGTGTTCCTCACAAGATCGCTTAAGCTGGTTTAGTTTGTGCAAGGACCTGAAGGCAGTGGCCATCTTATTGTGCCGTCTGCTTATTCTGCATGCTAACCTGATAGTCCATCGAACGACACTAATGGTCGCTTGGTATGTCTGTGAAGATCAAACTCTGCCTTAATCTAGATATGACGAATACTGACCGTCATGAAAACGAAAAACTTGCTAGCTGTGACGAATTCCTTGGCTTCGGAGGGACGCTTGCCGCAACCACAGAATTTGTTGTATCCACGTCACGAATGGTCGCTCCAATTTGAATTTGCGCGGACGTAATAAGGTGATAATTGTCTGAGTTATTTCGAGATTATTCCCAAGTCCATTACGTAAGAAAACACGCGGAGAAAACGCTTGTTCCACAAAATTCTCTGATTTTTTCATAGAAAATGCGCGAAGCCACCGGCAGCCATTAAACTACGAATTTCACGCCTATAGTGGACCATGAGCTTGTTTGAATGGCCTCTAATAAAACTGCGGCCACATGGGGTGATCTTGAGGGCCCGAATAACTACCATAAAATAATACAAACCTATTTTAAAGTTTCCCTTCTTTGAACCATAGTTTTGGAGACATCTTGGGTGTGTCAAGGACACGGCGGATGGTTTTCGGTTTGACCACATGCGCAACAAAATGCAAATAGTTTAACTCCTGTCGTAAATGTTTTGCAGGTAAGAGAATTGCGCGGCGGGCAGACGCTCAGTCCTCCGAAACATCACCAGTTGTTTGTCTTTCTACAGGCGTCGCACATCCAGCCACAAACTGCCTTGAAGTTAAGTGATTCGGACGCAGTCTGTGGGGTGCAAATAACCAAACAAACTGAGTTTTTGAGGTCCTGGATGTTAGAACAAATTTCATCCTCTAGATTACAGCTTTCTGAGTCAACTTTTCTCCAGCCTGCGAAAGTGAATAGCCCGAGGTTTTGATGCTTTGGTGATGGGGTCAACCATATGTAAAGTCTCACGCAGTGCCTTTTTGTGACCCCGGGCAATCACTTTTCCTATACTTTCCCGAATACGTAACAAACGCAGACATACATATACACGCATCCTGCTACACATATTTCGTTGATGTTTGGCCAGATAGGAAACCTAACTGAGGAAATTAGTGGTTGCTAAGACCAAGGAGTGGCAGATAAATGACAGTGGTTATGGAACTAGATTTGTTCGTGAGGCGTGTGCAACGAAGGGGGTCCCTGGCTTGGGTAACAGTGCGCAAAACAGCTGGTACATTTTGTACAGCGCCATTCTTCGGCTGGAACCATCAACTCTTTAAAGCAGCACACCGGAGTTTATGATGCAAAACTGGACTTCCTTTGTGCTTGTATTTGGAAAAACAGCTACCATGGTGCAATCGCTTCAACTTGCTATAGATATATCAGTGTGCGAGAGAAAGCGAGAATGAATAAATCTTGTTTGGATGAATGAATGAATGAATGAATGAGTGAGTGGGTGAGTGAGTGAGTGAGTGAGTGAGTGAGCGGGCGAGTGACTGAGTGAGTGGACGAATGAATGATTCAATGAATAATTTATTCAACTAACGAGTGCACGAATGGATGAATGGATATATAGGCGGGCGCATATGGTTGCACCATGAACGTCGCCGGGTCTTAGGTGCCTAAAATGATCACGAGTGCAGGTCTTAAACTGCACGGCTAAGCCTAAACCGCATGGCTAAGAAGTTTGAACAACGTCGCACGGACTAGAAGCAGCGGCCGTAGGAATTTTCAGCTCAAAGGTGAAAGACAACGTTTCACTAAAACTGAAGAGTTTTCCGAAACCGGTTACCTAGGGCTGGAACTCCCCTGTAAACAAACAGAATTTCCAAAATCCACCAGAATACGAAGCGGATAAATACGCCGTAGATGTCTTGGCGAAGTCTTGGACGCGAACTCGGTGTACAACTGCTGAAGACGCCATCGCTTCCGCTGGACTATCTCTGCTCTCACATTCAGGTGCAGCGGAGATGATGTTGAAGTGCTTGTCCACAAAACCTCTGTCTTCTCAGCAAGCGTCAAGATTTCCACTGATCAACCGGCCTCGAACAACCATCCACAATCACACTTACCGAAACTTAGCTCGCATCAGCTCCCTGACGCGGTCTCGGTTCGCTGCGTTTTCCTAGCTAATTCGAAATCCTGAAGAGCATGTGTGATTTAACATACATGCACGCGGCCTTTAGTACCTCACCGATCGGCTTCGATACCACACCTACGCCTTCTTGTGATGCACTGTAAATTCAGCTCCAGCTGCGTGTGACCGATTATTTTATTATAAGCGTGACCTACCTGGAAGATGACCAGATCGTCGAACAAAAAGTTGAGCGAATCTCTTTTAGCTACCGCCACAAGCATCTATCGCCGGTAGGTGATTTTAGCGCTCCAAAAGCATTGTGGGAGGAGTTCCAATGCTTTAGGACTGGTGGACATTTTGCATCGAATATGAACAAATTCGTTCCATCCAGCACCGGAAAATTATCGTTTTGCCGCATTCACCACATAGACCACATACCCATCCCTGCTGGACTTGACCAATCGCTAATTATGGATCCACTGACGCATAATGGGTAGTGTATGCTGAATTTTCTATTTCACCTGCTACTAGGTCAGGAACCCGTAACCTGAAACTTTTACCGTGCAAACATATCAGAAGTGCAAATGTTCTTAGACTAGCCCGAACTTAAACCAGACTCAGTGAAGAGGACATACAGAAACATTGTCCTTAGAATTCACTGGGCTGGAGAGTTATTTGCACCCGAAAAACTGGCGCGAAATCGGAAGGGCCAAAAGCTGCCTAAAGGATTTGGCTACTTCTGGGAAAAACCCAGCTACAAACCTATTGGCCTCCCTAACATACCATGCAAGGAAACAGAACGCATCTGGATCACAACAGTACCAATAATATGATATCCTTTGAACAACACCGATCCCTCCAAAACAGCTTTTGCGTGACAAACCTATTTGCATCTATGGACAGTTAACTCAAGCTGAAGACGAAAGCCGCATATGAGATGCACTGTCTACAGGCTAATAGAGATTGTTCACTCAAGTCACACACGTTCCGCTGCTCCACAAACTTTTGCCCAGTGGGATTCAAGGAAAAAATTCGGTGATGGGTCAAGGCATTTCTCTCGGATAGGACATTCTGAGTGAAAGTACGCTTCATCTGCTGTCTCTCGACGCCGATCGCCATTGAAGTTCATCAAGGCTCCATTTTGGACTAATGTTTAAAGGAAGAAGGCCCTCGCTGCGGAGTTATTTCTTAGAAAATGTCAAACGAACAGTTACAGATTATTGGACAGGGGAGCAAATCTCTCACGTGCATCTTGTTTACAAAAACTGAATATCCATCTTCTATTTGAACACGTCGTTCCGAACTTTCCTTGTTACTCATTGACTGTTGCTCGAATCCGAGCAAACCCTACAAGGCGGCTCCTCAAATTCCGTGATAGATCTCCCTTTTCAAGCGGCGCAAAGCGAATTTACAGGAAGAAACCATACTACTCGCACACCTCTCTATCAGTAGTATCATGTCTTTTTTGTGGACGACTCAAAATGCTGGGTTTTCGAGGTTAGTGTACTTCTACTGGGCGTTGCCGCTGAAAACAGTGGTCGCTAGATTGGAAGCTTACAATGGAAGTGGAAAAATTCGTTCAAATGTCATCTGCAGGAGACTCAGCAAAGACATTTTCGGTGCGCGGTGAGAACGGACCGGAATGGCTCTCACCAAACCTGCATTTCTCACTTTACAATGAAAAAATAAGCCTGAGAAGCACTTGCCGCTCTACGATTCGGCGTCTTTTCTTCAGGGGGCCATATGGCTCAGTCGTTGGAGTGCAAATTTGCTGAACGGAAGGCCTGTAATTCGACCCCCTCTTGCGCATCCGGCTTCCTTCGGACTAGGCTCGGGCAACCTGGCAGTTTCATAGCCCTAATGCTGCTTTCTGGTGCTATGGCAGCTAGACCCCGAAAAAGTGTCACAGATGAATTGTTATTACGCGCATGAACTGCCAGATACTCTATTAAACCCATGACGCTGCACTTCCTGAATGTACCAACCTAGCTATCTATTCGGGATGCAAGATAGACGTGGCCCTCAGTAGTCGCGTTCAGCGAGCTGCTACAAAATGTTTGTGGGCCTTGAATCTGTTGGTAATGAAACATGAATAGCGGTCCTAAACCCCCTTCCTGTAGAGTTACGTCGCTTCCAAGGGGCCCTAAGTCTTACTTCAACTCTGCGTTATCATGGGTTGGTCAGCAGTTTTTCGCCGTTCACATAACACACACGATGAGGGACATGGATGACACCACAGGGAGATTTTCCGGCTAGGAGCACAAGCTTTTAGTCGGCAATGTTTTCATTCCGCATGGTTTGTACATTGAATGACCTTCTTCAGACGGCTGTTCGCGCCGCATCTAGTGCCCAGCTCAAAGCGCTTTAGCGTTTTTACGAAAGCCCTCACGCTGGCGAGCCCACTCCCCCCGCTGATAACTTAAAGAGCGGTGCTACATCCTTTTCCGCTTATGCCTTTCAACTGGACAAAAGTTGCTGAAAAACGGGGACAAAGCCGACCCAGGAAGCCACGATCCCGTGTATCAATCCATTGTGAATAGACGCTGCCAAGCAGTGGTCGTTGGACTGGCACCTTCCTCTGAATGATGAAAAGTGTGTCCATGTGTCGTTTGGAGGGGATTCAGCGAATGCCTTTGTTATGCATGGTGAAAAGGGACCAGAAAACATCATGAGGATAGATGCCAAAAAAGATTTAGGCATCTGGGTCTCCTCAAACTTGTCCTTCGCACTACACCATGAGAAATCGGCCCAAAAGGCATTCGCCGTTTTACGGATGATCCGACGTACCTTCTCCCGTATTACTCGCATGGACTTCCAAATACTCTATGGGGCCTACGTCAGACCGCTCCTGGAGTACGCCAACCAAGTTGTCTACTCAGGACGTACGAAAGACGTTACCCTCATTGAGCGTGTCCAGCGGGCCGCCACGAGAATGGTTGCCGGCCTCAAGTCCGTGGACTACGAAACGCGTCTCGCGACGCTTGATCTCTTTCCCCTGGAGTACCGTCGCCTCCGAGGGGACCTAATTCTTACCTACGCCCTGTTTGAACAAAGCTTGGCAAACAGGTTTTTTACCGTTGACCCAGCAAACACCCGGCGGGGACATAGTAAGAAAATCTTCAAGCTCAGGGCACACACATCCGTTAGACAAAACTTTTTTTCATTTCGGGTAGTAGCTGCGTGGAATGACCTTCCTCCGACGGTTGTACACGCTCCTTCTCGAACCCAATTTAAAGCACTATTAGACATTTATTTATGCGAATCCTCGCGCTGGCGAGCATACTGCCTCGCGCTGAGAACATAAAGAGCAGTGCTACACCCTTTTTTCACTTGTGCCTTTCAGGTGAACGACAGCCACTGACCGACAAGAACAAAACCGACCCGGGAAACTTGGGCAAAAGCCTCGATTCTGTGTATCAATCCGTGAATCCGTGAATCCGTGAGTGATTCACTCATTCGGTAACACCAAGGTACAATGCTAGTCAAGACCTAACTGCTACGACTATCTTTTTTATTTCGTAGAACGGGTATCAGTAAATCAGCCTTTTGTCAAAACTTGATGAACATGTTATGTAACAGTCCGGTCGTATCTCAGCCCACATGAATTCATATTCATAAACTGGCCTTCAAAGAAGTTCATGGGTAATGGCGGCGGGCACTTTGAATATGTTGGAATGGGTTTTTATGTTTCTTGTCGCCCATTTCGGAGCTTCTCTTATTTGTTCAGGGTTGCACGGCCACATAGAATTTGGACGACCATCACTAAGCGATTCATACGCAAACGGTTCAGTGACGATCGTCACCTCTCCAATCGAATTCTTAAGCATTCAAACTCCGACATTTCGTTTGAATCGCTAAGGTCCTGATCAGTAATTTCGTATTGCGGATGGCTTATGGTTTCAGAAGTAGGCTGCTTAAAATGGGCGCAAGCGTTCATTTATATACACCGTGGCCATGGAATCTAAACAGGGTTGGACCCCTCAGAAGTAAATTCTACTCGTTTTTCTCTCACACCTTGAACGCCGTGAAACCTCATCAACAGAAGACAATCTTTTGTTTAGAAACTCATGCGCTTCAGGGCAAACAGAAAGGTAGCCCAATGAAATTGAGCCTGTGTTATTACTAAACGTTGCACTGTGCCCTGACAACTAACAGCGCAGCAATGAGGAAGTCTACCTACATTTTCGCTCGGTGGTGGAATCATTGTTGGCTGCGAGCATCAGTCGGAGGCTGGATACCGGTGCTATTCTGGCCTTTTTTCCGCCAAACGTGGATCACTAAGCGGCTACCGCTATAATGACGGTACCACTATACTGGTTTTTTGATGCCAGTGATTATGGTGCTATAATGTATGCGCAAAAAACCTGTGCTATCTGATCTTTTGGCTTAATACGAGAACTCTCCGCCAAAATCACAAATCTCGTCGAAGCATTGGCTCTCTGATAAAACCGTGGCTTTGTTGGAGGTTCGGCGACAGGTCTTTCCTGGTCGAAACCACAACGTAATTTGACCCATCATCAGACGCTAAGTGAAAGAGAAGCCTGTTGACCCGAAAAGGCCTATTGTCATTGACAAGATAACATTGTTTGGCACTGATGCTTTCCTGCCGTACAACCATGATTTATTCTAAGTCCGTATTTTGAAAAGAAGCGTAAAACTAGGCGGGGAAGGGACTTAATAATAGCCTACCATAATCATTCTGAGGTGCCCACACCTCCAGACATTCATTCAGACAATTTGGATAGAAACTGACAACAAGAGCGTCACTTGCATCGATTAGCAGCCACATCTTGCAGGGTCTCAAACCAGGCGCAATGGGATCACGCAGTCCCATCCCGGAAAGCGAGTCGCACCCGGACTTTTCGTAATCTTTTTCATACTTTTCTGCCAGGCTTTTGCGCAAGGAGTTCTGGTTAATGACCTTATCGTCTTGTCTTGACCTAGGCGCCGTGATTTGATCTCAGCCCACTTACGGCCATGAATTACGCTTACAACTGACTTCGTGTTGTGTCTTCAGCCTGGTCGCCCTAATTGCTGCATACAACTGCGGTGAGCGGAAACTGCTGACGCCTCTGTTCTTCCTCTTTCATAATTCGTTATTCTTGCCTCACCCCTGTGGTATATTTTTGGGCTCATTCTTAAGCACTGATAAATCTGTTCGCCGCCCACCACAGTTAGTTGCAGTATTTACGCCCACCGGGACCACAACGACCGTAGACATTTCAGAATCACTTTTCAAATCCGGACGCCTAGTTTAACCGACATTCTTTGTCGTCTGCATCCGAAAACAAGCTAGACAACAAAATGCTCTTGTTTGGATGCTGAGAGGATGTTTCGAGATCCAAGCAATTCTCAAACTGACTTCTCGATAGGTTTCTTCTCATTTCCTGTTGGTCACCTTTGGGGGTTCCAAAGGCCCGGTGGCTGGTTCTGCAATACCAGACTTGCGAACCAGGAGGCTGTTAGTCGGACCTCTAGGTATTGGTCAACTTGGTACGAGAGGCTTTGTCGCACGAACGCTGGTATGTGTAGCTTGGTGGGTCACGGCGGCACACAAGCCGTTCACACCACTGCAAGGTCTAGTTTCCTGACGGTGATTAAGCGTCCGTGAGCAAGAGCAGTGGCACTACTATGACGCGACGGCTCCTTTTGAGAGGCTAAAAGTGCTCGTATCGTAACCGGACTAGCTTTACTTGCCCCCAGACGGTCTTCTGTTAGCGGAATATTCGCTTAGAAAAAGGTTTACGAAAGTCCAATGGTGTAGGGTTTATCAGACCATGAGTGGGACGTTTCGCTGGTTTTCCTGAGTTGACTAAACCTTGAGCTCGTGCGACGGTTTGCGCACTCCGACGACCCATTGAACTGTGTTGTGGGATGCAGCAAATCCAGTCTGTCCTACCAGGTTTGTTAGTCCATACATGTCTGGCAAGTACATCGCGATGACCATGCAGATTGAGCGTTGGAGCATCTGTAGCAATTATTACCCTGATATTCGGGCGACTAGAATTACCAGAGACTGACTTAGGATTTTGATCTTCCTCTTGCCTGTGGGTGGATTGGCACTATCTGAACAATCAAATACACAAAGTACCTTTACAACAGGCCGGTGTGTGATCACAGCCGACTGGTCTTATTCACTGTTTACGGAAACGGGCGCAACTGCGCGACTGCTGATGTATTCCGTCTATCTTCATTGTTATCTCTCAATTGCTCTCTTATATGACAAGTATGCGGTTCTTACAGCTGATAGTGATGATGATGGCCTATACCTGTGTGAAGGACTTCGATATACAATGCTTCGCAATGCTGCAGAGCAAGCGGACCATTCTGAACAGGCTCAGCGGTTCTTAAGCTGATAGTGATGATGATGCTTTCTTGTCTCGCTTGATTCTAGCTGTAGGCACTTCAGTCAGACACCTGGGAGATTGATCGGGTGTACACCACCACCCACATCTACCACTTCGCTTCCAGTAATTAGACCTCGTTCTTCCCTTTTTATTTTGGCCTCTAGTGTTTGAACTCATGCAAGGTAGCGAACGAGCTACTTTCTTGTGCACTTTTGATACTTCATCGATATGTGCCACACTTCTGGAACTCGAATCACATTTGAGCTTACGACACGTTCGCTATCGGCCGATTGCTGTAGCTTCTTGTACCGGTGTTCGCGTGAACCTCAGCCCCCAAAATGAAGACTTCTTGGTTGTTTGAGACCTCTGTATCTTCCGGCTATCGACTCCTATACTTTCGAACTACTAACCACCCCGTATGTATAGTCTGCTTATGACTAGCCAACTATAGCTCTGATTCGGCGAAAAACACTTGTTGTCTAGAAATCACCATGATCTTACATCCACCACCATCTGCTGTAAAAACCGCGTACTTGCCGCAGAATGAATAAAGCTGCCACATTTCCGTTCGCCTATGATTTGGGAAGGTGAGGTAGATAGCTACGTATTGGAGGCAGTAGCTGATATAATAGATGCGCAAATATAATGATGTCCGTGGACTTTTTATTGGGGAGATCGGAAAGGGAGCCATACGTTGAAGATAGATAGATGAGCGCCATTAAGGGCGTGACTGGTCTATGTCTGACAGTGATGTGTGTCATGTCTTGGTATCCCCATCCGGCAACACGGCGATGACAGACGCAAATGTGTTTGCTAGTAATGGCTTTCGCACTTCGTTGCCAAGCCATTGTTTGACCTCTCCTGACTCGTTTCCACCCTTCGGTGGCTGTGCGAAACGGGGTCTTCGATGAAGTTGGTCAGCTGGCATACAAAACACGTGTCGAAACTAGCAAAACCTACGGAGTTGATCTATTTATTTATTTTAAGCTAGTTATTTCTTCCGAAAACTATTCGCTGTACTTCACCATTACTGATTCGTTATTCCCACCAGGCTCCGGCAATGCTTCGAAAACATCAATGATTGAAAATTGAAAGTTTCTTGAAATCATGAGCGCAGTAGCCAAGCTTCTAACCCGTATAACAATATGGAACGCACTACAGCATTGTAAACTTGACCCTTGCTATAGAAGTTGATGTCACGCCTGCGCTACGGTTGATGCAGGTTCAAGAAAGCTGCTGCGGACTTCCCAATCCGGATGGGAATATCGCCTTTAGCTGGTGAACAGACTAGTAATAATAATAATAAAATTAATAATAACGATACGAATAACAACAACGGATCATCTGTAGCTGATACACCTGGCCAAGGTAGACATTTGTCTGCTTCCTCAGTTAGCTCGTCCGCAGGCATTAGGGTTAGGGTTTGAGCCCACCCAATCTTGCAAAAGGACTTTATACTTTACAGGTGTGGAGCGCATACCAAACCATGAAGCAGGTTATCTAGATTACTTAATATTTGCATTATGACGATGTTAGATCCGAGAATTGCTATGTCGTCTGCATACTTAGTATCTGTGAGCGAATGTCATGGGAGCATTTCGACCCCACAAGGATTAGAGTTAGTGAGTCTTCCGTAATAGTAACAATGGTGAAGTTGAAGAAAATATGTGAAAGAGGACTTCCTTACCCAGTACCGCTTGATGTAGTGGACTTAGGCAAGAGCTTCCAGTAGACCTTTACGTATCCGCAGCAGCTGGAAACAGCACATCAAGGAGGGTCAAGAATTTGTTAAGAATTTATAGCCCCATAGACACTGCGAGATGGCTCTAGTGGTTAGGGCGCGAATTTACTGACCGGAAGGTCTGTAGTTCGAGTCCGACCTCTGCCTCTCGACTTCTGCTGTCTAAGCTTGGGCAACCTGGCAGTATCCCAACCCTCGTGCTTCCTTGTGGTGGCATGGCAATTAGGCACTGGAAGGGTGTTACAACTGTATCGTTCAATCAAGTCGTTCAGCTGTTACACCCTTCCGGTGCCTAGCTGCCACGCTCCCCGAAGGAAGCACCAGGACTGGGATACTGCCAAGTTGCCCGAGCTTAGACAGCAGAAGTCGAGAGACAGAGGTCGGGTTCGAACCACAAACCTTCCGGTCAGTAAATGTGCGCTCTAACCACCTGAGCCATCTCGCCCCAGGTGACTGGTTATCATAGGCAATGCCATAGTGCCCGATTGTTCAGAAAGTCAAAGGCAGCTTTCATGTCAAAAAGCGCCACTTTTGTTGATTTCTGGAAGCCGTGTCGCTTTACCATAATCTGTCGAAGGGTGAAAATGTAACCGATGCATCCTTCTGCTAGAGAGCACCCGTCTTGGTTTTCATGGGCGTGCCTCTCTGTGTTCAGTCAACCTTCGAAGGATAAGACCAGAGAGCACCTCTGATGCCATCGTGGTTTTCACACAGCATCCGCGCACTGATTTTGAAGCTGGGGATGACTGTCGACATGCCCCATTCTATAGGCACTTTCTCTTCGCTCAATATTGAACCAATGAGCTTTGTTAGATGGGCCAACAGGGACTTTCGTCTTCTTTGACGAGGTCTGGATACAGACCGTCTGGCTCTGGTGCCTTCCCACGTTTCATTACGGATATTTCATACTTTATTTCTTCGTCCGACGGGCGGTCAACTTTTACATTCCATTTGCCCGTATGAAATGTCTCCAGAAACTGTTGCAGGGGACCAGCTAACCTTGCCTCCTAAGTGCTCGACCCTTCTTTCCAGTCGACACTTTTGCAAGTCGCAATCTTTTTCGCTTATGATTTCATTAACCACTGCTTTCCTATAGTCAGTCGATCGGATCAGTTGGTGTATGGCACAGGTGTTTCTGGTATCAAAAGCCTTCTCCATTTCCTGGGATTTCGGTGTCCACCAAAGCCCTCGGTTTTTCCTTAAACTTTTCACCATTTGGTGTTTGGGGGATTTGCGTGCGCCGTCGTATTTGTTGCCTACTGGTTTGGATTTCCTAGCATCAATCGTGGATGGTGATGCCGACGATATCCAGTGGTCATGTGATTGTATTGAAGTCTGACAGCACTGAACGCCTCCAGCTTAGCTCCTTTCACATTTTTCCATGCTTCATCCAGATGTTTTCTACCAGTGTAACGGCGGGTACTGATAGGGGATGCAAGTAGTCTGTTGTCTTCTCGAAGCTGCGTCCCATGTCTAATGGAAGGTGAAGTTTATTATGGAACTTGTGGAACTGCTTTACAGTGTTCTTTTACACTTGTGATGATCAATCAATATCCATGAAAGTTCAACAAGACGTGTGGGAATCTTCAGTTTTTGAAAACTATATGCATGTGAGACGTTTACTTTCCTGTCCAATCGTTTGTAACTGCGTATTTGGTGTTTGCCACTAGACAACTTCGCGGCGAAGGGCTTTTCTCCTTACACCAGTACAGTATTGGTGTACTGTAAGGTCGTTGATATTTCTGAGTTATGGCAGTTCTTCGAAGATTGTGGATTGGCATGCTTATTTCTGACTGACAAGTGTCTGAAGGTAAACAAACTACCAAACGTACTCGCACCATCGCATGATCGGATTCAAACTGTGTGCCACTGAAGGAACGGCAGTCTTGAATTGTGACTCCACTGGTGGCTGATGGCCGCATGATCTAATTGGGTCTGCGGTTGATTTGCAGTTATTAGCCGCCAGGTTACGCGGTACAAACGTTTATGCTAAACCTAAGTTCCTGCTAGTCAAGTAATTCATGATCATCACACAACTGGAGGAGTCGCTCTCCGTTGTCCATGCGACGAGCATAGACTCCGAACGGACCGCTCAGATATGATTCTGAGGATCTCAGTCGACTGACTTGGGCATTCGACGAACGAGCCCGGATAACTCTCAATAGAAAGTGCCCTCAGCTTGTGAACTGCAGTCTGGTGGGGCATACGCCAATATTACAAGTAGGCTTCGCTTTTCGTGTCGAAAGGTATATAGCTTGATTGAGCTGAATAACCGGACGGCGCAAAGGCAATTATTCACTGGAATCCAATCCCACATAGTGCGTTCAGCTCTGGGGCTGAGTGCATTTCCTACGCTATCGCTTCTAGATCACCTGACACGGCGGGAGAAATAGTGAAGAACTGAGTTCGCCGTTGGGGTTTTGAGATGCATGACCACACTTGGGTCTTTATGCATGTTTCAGAGGCACAGCATACATCAATTATAAGGGAGTATGAAGTCTCTGTGCATTGCCTATTTGCCAGTTCGTCATAGAGTACGTACGTTGAGAGCCGCTATCTAGAAAAGATCTTGTGGATTAAACAAAGCGGGATACATAAGGCACGTTGGTCAGATAACTGACATTCACATGACCTAGCAACGTTTGCCTGTCTTCTGGGAATGGGTTTGGGAGGGACATCGGTGGACACGGAACCATGCGGGCAAGTGACATCATCATCATCATCATCATCAACAGCATGACATCAGTGTTCAACACCGATGCTTCACTGCCGTACAAGTGACAACTCCCGGCTGCCCAGACTGAGGAAGGGGCTTCGGATGAGGAACCCCATCTTGAGCCCTTGACTCAAACGTTTGACCCGCGAGGCAGTGGACTGTGCGGTTTTCTTTGGTGACCCGTTTCGGAACCGACTCAATAGCCTGCCCTTCTCGATTGCAGAAGACTGGCCTAACCAGAGAGCATAGAGAGTAAGGCATGACTATCTTACTCCTTATGTGGCTGCGCACAGTAGGGTACCTTTTGAGGGGTACCAGACTATATTGTTTCAAAAGTATTTTGACCGTATTGAATAATACTCTGGCGGTCACGGTCAACCGTTGGGTGATCGGTGTGTGCCGTTTTTAGAGCCGGCCTTTTCTAACCAGTCCTCCCTCGGGGGACGGCAGCATCGCTGCTTCCATGAGTATGGAAATGCCAGCCTTGTTGATTTCACTCTTCATTCTCAGAGGTTAGTACGACCTTACCCCCAGACTACCCGGTAGCACGATCACTCGTGCAAGCTCTCGCTGCTATCGGTCTGGCTGCCCCCATTGGCCTTCCTGGCACGGTGCACCTTGCGGAATGAAGTTTCAGCCAGCGTAACCCGTGAGACCATTGCAGGACTCAATCACGACCGCCACAACAATGTGGCATGTTTAGGTCGGGAATCTCACCTCCACCTAACGAAGAGTTCAGATATGATGTTAGCACTAAATTTCAGTTCGCCTAAGTTCATCTGGGACACGACTTAGTGGTGTGTTTAGTTTAGATTCGTCTTAATGTTAATGTTGAACTTTGTCCTGGTCTTCACTTTCCTCATAGCAGTACTGGTTTCGGACGCACTGCATGCTGCTGTGCTCTCTGGCCCTTCCTATAACTAACCAGTCATCGTGCTAAATTAGTCCTGTATCCGTTAGCTGCAGTTAGTAAGGCTCAGTACCCTACTGCCCATCATTCTCAGGTGCATATGTTCACTAGATTCATGCCCTCCGATGTGGATTTTCACTGAATTCCGCGGGTAAACCCAGAAAGGAAACTTTCATGTTTGTACTCTGAAACCACTTCGAACCACGAACTAAGCAAACGTAATAAAACCTACGCTATGATGCTTTGGAAGCGACCTACTCAGAACACATCAGTTGCAACTGGAGAGAGACACCAGTCGCTAAATATGACGCCGGTAATTCTGTATGTGGAGTTTACTCACACTCGCACATGAACCACTGGGTATCATAAAGGTCTGCACGAATTCTCCAACTGCACAGGTATAAACCTTGTACCTATTGTTACACGGTTACTGGTTTCTCTGGTGTTGTAATGGTCCGTTTCGGCACGTGAGACACTAATCCGAGGATATCGAGTAGGATTTCGGTGTGATAGGGAATGCATTTATCCTATTTTACAGATCATTTGTCATCTGATTAACAGCCACCTCCACCGCTGTCACACTTCTTTTGCAGGGGATATTACGGCCTTACCACGAGGTCGCTTCGTTTTACGGTTGTCCGTAGCATGGGAATTTCCGGGTGTTAGTCTCGCTGTGGTAAATCCTCATAGGATGAGGATCTAACCAACTTAAGATGTAATTACTGGTCTGAATTCCCTCAGCTACGTTGTGGTGGCAGGTTTCGGTCTGCAGATCCTGTCAGCATCAGTATAGGGAAAATTTGATGGTAGGTGCATTTTTACCCTCCAAAGGACCAGACGCCCAGTTCGGTTTATGGCCACGTCAGTATCCGCTGCTCGTCAAGGTAGAAATTAAACGAAAACCGGATCATGGAAGTGGTGACATTGAATCCAGCCTTGCGCCTCTAAAATCCACCCCCCTTCGTCAGTATTCCACTTTTCACTTCTGCTTCGTTTTCCACACTACCGCCTCTTTGCCGTTTTCGTTTTTCCTCGTCATTTACCAGATGCTGCATGCTGATACATAAGGTTCGTCTTGAAAACGGTGCGGAACTGTTATCCATGTCGCTACTAAACCCTGGGGGTTATTTTGCAGCAACAAGCAGACTTAATGAGGGTTAGAAAGTTTATATATGATTCCAATCGTAATTATCCAGGGATATTCCCAGCTACTTTTAAGGGAGAAATAATTCCTGCAAACTTCCCGAGGTTTTCCCCCTTTGCCTCGATGTGGTTCGTTGATGTGGCCTCCAAATCGAGGCTGTGTACAGATGGTATAAGATGCTCCTTCATCTTTGATTCAGTACCATTGCGTTTCCCTGTGCTTTGTCTTCATACTCCACTCTCATTTCAGGCTGCCCACAATGGAATATTTTTCCGGGACGCTCAACGTCAGAATTATTGAAGCGTCTGACCTCAAACCGACAGCTTGTGCTACACGACACTCTCTTCGACCTGTGGCCAAACTGTGCGAGCTACTTGACCCTTATGTGACTGTCGATGTGGACGATATAGCTATTGGAAAGAGTTCCACTAAATCGCGCACTAATACACCTCTGTGGAACGAGGACGTGAGCGCCGAAGTAAACTACGCCCAACAGCTCACATTTACGGTCTATCATGATGCTGCAATTCCTCCCGATGATTTTGTTGCTATCGTTGAGGTTGCGATCCGCAATGTGCGTTCCGGTGAAGATGTGTGGATAGAACTAGAACCTCATGGCAAACTTCACATTCGGATTGATTTGTCTGGCACAAGAACTGATGAACCCCCTCGTGACCGTTTGGGATTTCCTAGCAGAGACAGTGCAATCGGCGTTCATGCGAAGCACTATCGATGCGGCGCGATGCGACGCCGCATTCACCAGGCAAAAGGTCACAAATTTCAAGTAGATGCAATTCCCATACTTATCACTTTTTTCATTTCAGGTTACTAGCCTCAAACAATTTACCTTTTGCTCGTTGTGTAACAGTTTCATCTGGGGTCTATGGAACCAGGGCTATCAGTGCCAAGTGTGTACCTGTGTTGTACATAAACGATGCTATTTGAATGTAATCACACAATGTCCGGGTGTTAAATCTCCTCCAACAGGACCAACTGCTCTGTTACAAGTAAGTGTCTTTTGTACTAGCAGCAACGTTTGATACCAGATTGGTGTTAAAATGAGTGTATTTCGCGAATTTAGTACAAATTAGGTTCAAGTACTTGATGGGGGGACTGCGTATACCGGCCGTAGGTCGTCGAAGTGTTTTCAACAGCCTTATGAGTAGCTTCCTTCGACGAAATATATAGCGGCATCTCAAGTGTACCAACTGAAACGTGAGACGGCCTTTGTGCAGCACATTCAGTTGAAGATTATCATAAGCGGGAGATTCAGCTGCGATTAGCTTGAGCTTCCCGTTGAAACCAAATTGATGTACAAATGGCTGTATTTTGTGAACTCCTAGTACAGTTTTGGAAACCTTGGCCTTTTTTAGCTAAATGAATAACAAAATAGTGAAAAAATGAAAATAAACCGTAATACAAGTCTTGTGTCGTTTTACCGCTCAAACCCTGAACTAGTTCTATTTTCCCACTTTAGTGTAACCGACTTTGAGTATCGGTCGCAGAAAAAGGAAAGTGGATGATGGAAGGGACGCTTTTATTGCCTCGTTGCCTACTGTACTGATTCGCTGAAACTCCCATTAACTTGCCTTGTATGTTAACGATTTGGGGTAAATCCCTTGGGAATTGTCCCCACTACTCAGGAGACACCGTTTTTGGACGCCAGTGTTGCGAACAGAGTTACCTTTAGGTGAGTTATTGGTGGATTGTGGTGGCACACGCGTCGATTGGCATGTTTGTCGGACATCATTGTCGGTGTCGAGGGGGAAGAAGAATTCTTGTTTTCTGTGAGGTAATATAGAAGACCACTAGGAACTGAATGGGTATAAAACACTGGCGTACCTGTTCAGCTGCTTACTGGTTTTCCAGTCCCGGTTCGTTCGTACAACTGGGTTTTTAACTATTTTGGCTTCAGGATCCATTACTTGCATAATGGACCGTGGAATAGAGAACCCGTAGTTGGAGACCCCCTAAAGGGGTGATAGGAATATAGGGGAGCCACTCAGAAATATTGAGGCGCTCAAAAAGATACGAAAAACCTGTAATCACTTGTATATTAACGAACTGGCCAAGTTAGTGTTAATTCGAGTCCCGAATAATCGAATACTGCAAGCATTTGGGAAAACAGAATGTGAGAAAGTGTTCCAAACTTGTGTAGTTCGTGAGGAAATGTAACGGGGGGGGGGGGGATTTTCACTTGGTATTGGTGATTAGAAACGAAGAGGTGCGTTGACTAGAGGAATACAACAGAATATGAGTTCAGAAGGACGTTTGCCGTGTTTACAGAAAAGATAGCGCAGGAGAGTGTTGCCCTCAAGATCTCACAGAGTTGTTAGTGGATAGAACGGGATTAATGGAACTTTCCTGATACTTATCGGAGTCAGATGGGGAAATATATTTGGGAGTGTGTAGGACTTTCGAATTCTTCTAGGACGACGGGAAAACACCTGAAGACGCTGAAGCACAGAAGGGTTGAGGATGGAGCATGGACTATAAAGCTGTCGGTGGTTAGAGCGCGGACTTACTAACGGATAGGTCCGTGGTTCGAACTCGACCCCCTGCCTCTTGACTTACCCTGTCTAGGCTTGGGCAACCTGGCAGTATCCCAGCCCTAGTGCTTCCTTCTGGTGGAATAGCAGTTAGGTACTGAAAGGGTGTCACAGCTGAACGATACCAGTTCTAATATATACTTATTGGCTTGATATAGCAGAGCTATAATACAAAACTACAATGTAGTTTGGACTCGCATTTACAGAGCCGCGTAGCTTGTTTCTCACACCAGTAAACCTCGCTGAACATTCATGAGTTCACAGAAACTTAGAAATTACGTGTGACGATAGGCGCAACTTCTAAAGATCGTCACTGTTCGACAGTTGACTTAAATTGATTTGTTTTAACAGCCCGGATAACTTTGAGGACGTACCAGCTATTCTATCTGAATATCAACCGATATTACAAGCGGTTCAGCTGAAGTCGAATGAAAAGTCACCTTGTGAAATTGACTAGACTTTGTCACCAGCCGGCAAACTGAGATGATTATTCATGATTTTGTTCCATACTCACGCATTCACCATACGGTCATTAGTACACACGAACGAGATGGCCCAAGTGGTTAGAACGCAAATTTACTGACCGGAAGGTCCGTGGTTCGAATGCGACCTCCGCCACTCGACTTCCCCTGTCTAGGCTTGGGCAACCTGGCAGTATCCCAGCCCTCGTGCTTCCTTCGGATGGCATGGCAGCTAGGTACCGGAAGGGTGCTACAGCTGAACGCTTTTTTTACACACGAACTATTGGTATCCTATTGTAGGTTGATGAACAGTCGGGCACAAAATCCGTCGTTAGCTTGATCTCAAAGATTAGCTGAAGCAGCATTTAACCCCCTCTTAGCTATGTGTTGTGGTGCCGGTGATTTGGTTTAGTAAATTTGTGTGTAACGTTGTGGGTCGATTAAGAATGGACAAAAGCAGAGGAAGGTTATAACTACAAACTCGCCAGAGGAACAGCACTGGAGGTTTTTTTGACTATTCAAAATAAATTCGGAACAGTAAGGTCGGATACTAAGTCTTGGACTTTTGCATCGCCTTAATGGGCAAATATCTAAGCAATTCGAAAGGATTCCAGTGGGACCCTCGATATCATATTTACCGGTGAAACGGTAATGCGGAAACTACAGCTCGCAACTAGCAACTTTAAATCCTGGGTTCATACGTGAGCAATGTCTTCTCCAGTGTGAAGCGAAATACATTACAGAATTCTTCTTAGACGCATTAGCGGATAGAATTATCGACGAAACACCTGAGGTCTGTGCGTACCGGAAGAAGGTACAAACTAAGTATCAGCAATCTTAAAGTGAAGTAAATGGAATTTACATCAAAATTTTGTTCAAGATTACGCAAGCACATTGCAGCGCCTCATAATTTAGGGAGACGACTATATCGAGAATTTCAAAGGAATAGATTTCTAAGAAATTTCTTCAGAATCTTAAAAATTTCACTTCGGTAGCATCACTAACAACGCAGTCCTTCAATCCATCATGAATGCATCCAATGACAAAGCAAAATTATTGCGTCGAGTATGATTCTCAGTGATGCACAAACCACCTGATACTCTGCACTGGAGAGCAGTGGGGGAGTCTCACTGAATTCTGTTGGATATAGTCAAAAAAATGAAATCCGCTTTTTCGGGGACCTTATTTTTATCAGAGTTCGTTGTTCCTGAGAATGTAACCTTTCCTTTCTTGGAGTGAAATCACTGTAGAAAGCGGAAAAGTACCAGAAAGACAAATGCATGTGTATTGTCTTCCACTCTTATGTGACATTTTCCCGTATCCTGTATCACCTCACTTACACCAGCTGATGACCCATGCGGTCGATTCCTATTATTATCGAAATCAACAACTCATATGCACAGGTTCTTTCGTTTGTACGATGTTGCTGTTCACACATCTAATATAGTTGTCAGTAATGTCTTCCTTATCCAGATTATGCCATTAGCATTCTTACCATTAGCGCCAGAAACAGTAACCTTGGTAACGGCTGCGTTTCTCGATTGACACTTTTCACGTTATAGTAAGTCTACTTGGTGTGTTGGCCATTCACACTTATGACTCATGTTTTTTGCTAGCTTATTGTCTCCGTGTACTACAAACCATTTACTACTTCTCATTTGTTACCGACCTGACAGAACCGCTTCAACATCAACGTGCCCCACAAGTTCCGGATCCACACGTTCATGCTTCCCGCATTTTGCGATCATTGTGGTTCTCTGTTATTTGGTCTCATGAGGCAAGGCTTACAGTGTGAAGTCTGTCGTCTTAGCATCCACAAGCGATGCGAGCGAAATGTAGCCTCTCATTGTGGTGTCAACACACGTGACTTGATTGCTGCCATTCGCCTTTGTGGCCTGAACCCATCTGACTTGGGTGTGATTCCTACAACCAGTAGTATTGGTTCCATTGGTAGTCCAACTCCGAGTAACGCTGTAAGTCCAGGGCCCCACGCCTCGTCGTCTTCTCGACCCGTATCTGCAGGGCTTCGTACCTCCGGGATTTATGGAGCCTATACAGATTTTGGCACTGGTGAATCCCGATTAACAGGGTGAGTTTTGGTTTTCAAGCTATATCACACCTTGTGCTGCATTTAATAACTTCGTATCTCTTTGTGTGTATTAACGGAGGAATGCCGTCATAAATTCGTGCAATTTGTCCTAGTTTTTTGCAGAGTCAACCCTTATTCTTTCAAGTAAAGTGACTGCACTAAAAGTTGCATAGAAATTTCAGTGTTTCTTCCAAAACAAACAACGTGCATGGTTGGGCACTGGCGGCACAGTCGCTTCGTCCGAACAAATTGGTGATCGGAGAATGTTGAAACATGGAGACGTTTCTCAAGACTAACTGCGCTCATGGATTCAATATGGAGAGTAGAGTACCTACCTCGGGGCTTGGTAATGCACTCACTCTAGCGCCTATCCACTAGTTTGCGTACCACCTGAATAACAGCTGTTTGTGCTACCACATAACAGCCACCTAAATGTGGGAGGTGGTTTTGTGTGGTCCGTAGGAAATCCTGCAGTAGGTGCGGCTTTCAAATATCATTATTCATCCTCGCGGTGTTTGTCATTGACAAAGCATTTATCGGCCTAGGTGGACCTGATGTACTAGTTTTACATCAAAGAAAAACATGTGCGTACGTTTTGCCGACAAGAGTCGTTTGCGAAAAAAAACGTTTTCATCTTTTATTAGGCAGATGCTATTCGGTGCGTTTTTTGGTAAAATTCAAAGGAGTGAGGCGAGATCCTTCAGAGTGAAGCGGTAGTCAAACATGACTGCTTTTAGCTGTAAGCGCTCGCTCCGGTCGATTCACTCCCATGTGCTCAGGTTTTGATACTTTTGAAAGTATTCATGCGACAAAAGTTGACAGAACATTACATCTCAAAGTAAAATAACTGATGTCTGTTACTACAGTTTCCATTTGGGAAGGTAGCACGCAAATCTCCGTAGGAAAACAACAGTTTCACGTCTTGAGTTTGTGACCTAACATCTTAACATCTAAGTAGATGCATACGAAATTCGGTCATAAGAAACCGCTAGAGAAAAGAGGCGATTTTGATGACCCGGATTTGTCACAGTATCTTAGTTCTGGCACATTCAAAAGTCGCACAAAAACATGTTTCGTGGTCTTTTTTACCTCAGACAGCAATGTGAGCCTTCTAACCAACGTGGCTCGTAAACTATCTACCTCTAGGTGCTCCTAATAAAAAAGTATGGGAAGTCTGCGTAACATAACGTTTCCCTAACAGGACAGTCAAGCCCCTATGCAGCACGAAGCAGCTGAAGGGAGCACCTTTAGCTGGTGCCATCAAGGTCAGGGAATAAGCGCAGCAACACTGAACGCCGATTTTAAGCAACTCCTGTCCAGCCTTTTTCTTTTTTTCCTTTTGGCTCCTCCTATGCCGAGAAGTTAATGTTGTTATTACGCCCGAACCAGCGATGACTAGAAACGATGCCCAAAGCGTGCACCTCTGGAGGGACCATTGTCGCCGTTTTTTCGCAAACCTTGGTGTAACAGACTTATATGTATACTAGTCTGAACCGCCACGGACAATATTTGTCTAATTATCTGAGACTTTTGGTTTAGGACCGTCTGACCCCGTAAAAAGGGCCGCTGCGGAGAGTTCAGCGCTTGACGTAAAAGGACTGCAAAAATATTAGATGCTGTTCTTAGTAGCATCATTATTGTTTGCTTATTGATGGGACCGTCGTGTTCTGATGCCAAAAAGTTTGTAAGTGTAAAGATGTATACTACTGATGAAGCACTCAAGTGGCCTAGTGTCCGGTATCCAGACTCCGCCCCCGTATCTAACAGAAAGTGAATGTTACAATGTAGACTGGGAAATCGCTTTGCAGTGTTTGTTTATAATTGTTCCTTAGTCGAAGAACGTCCAGAATAGTTCAAGAAGATGCTTGGGAATGTTCACTTTTCGAAAACTGCAGCTGAGATGTTTACTTTCATATCCACTAGCTTGTAACCGCTCGTGCTTACTAGTAAATAAATTCGCACTGAAGGACTTTCTTCTTTTCACTAATACTCCGAATTGTCATTGCTTGGGAGAAGTCGCAAACTTTTATTCAGTTAGAAATTTTTAACTTCGCAGTAGCTTCATTTACCTTCTGTAGTGAAATTACTTTTTCACTCTCTTCTCATTGAGATGAATCTAATACCCTTGGCCCTTAATACCCTTAATACTATTATGCAGAAATTATTATACACCCTAACGTCGAATAAAAGTGTATTTTCGTAGTATGGTTCCTAGTTTGCCCTACCGGTTGACTCGTTGAAACGAATACAGGGCCTTTGTGAAATCCACGCTTACTGTTGTCATGTCGATGGGCAAGATGCATGCTTGCACCAGACCTATTCATCTACACAGTCTTCTCCTCATTAGGGGCCACTCTCCGTAAAGGACCACCGGTCCCTTGTTGAATTTTAGGATCCTGGAGAGAACTTTCTGTGGGGAACATGGATCAAATATCAAAACAAATTTAAACGTTTTTTTTTCAATGTGCAGTGGGTTCGGCCCCTGTTTCTGAAGGTTGCTGGTTATCAGTTCGGTCTTTGGGCAAAGCACTCCAAACAACTGCATTAACATAGTAACCAACATTGTCTATCTCGGGACAGCATAGAGCAACAATTTATAATGGTAACAACAAACTATACTAGCAAGTAAACAGAAGTTGGCATTGAGCTAAGGTGTCGCAGTCTCTTCTGTGTGGATAGCTGATGTTCGCGTGGTCATAGAATGAAGGAATCAGAATTCGCAAGGTGTTTCACGAGTGCGTTCTCTTTGTTATGAGGACAACCACAGCTGTGACTAGACATTGGCGTTCAACAGATTCCAGTCGACAGATAGGCTCATGATGGAATACTTCGAGCGCTGTCTCAGAATCTATCGCAAGCGAACGACCACTACTTTGATGATGGGTTTCTCTGATCCGGTAGTCATCCAAGGACTCCCATGCTCTTTTGATCTTAAAATTACTTGCCGCTTTTGGGATTCTCACGTATACTGCTTGTTCAGTTATCTGTTTTTCTTGTGAAATCATGTTTGAGAATTTGTGTGTGGTTTGTATGTGGAGGTACGTTGAGTGTGTGTAAGAATTTACACCAGGAATCGAAATCTGATTAGTCGGTTGAAGTAGAATTACTGGTAACCGTTAAAGTGGTGCCGATGAAAGCTCTTAAACCCATGTACAAACTCAGTGGATTATAAATGACTACAGCTTGAATTAACGCCCTTTATACTCAAGATTTAGGCCGGTGACAGCTTGGTTTAGGGTTTAAGATTGTGAGCTTCTAACCGGAACATCAGGTGGTTGAATTGTGCTGCATTCATCTGCTGAACGCCAACGCGTAGTTGGTTGCTATTATAGAGTCGACCATTTCTGATTTCATTAGAATTGCCTGAAGAAACGCTGCGCAGTGTTGGCGCTTTCTCCAGCTGCGCACGTAAAACATGTTAACAATGGTGACATGTGTTTTCTGTCAGTTCTGGTGTGCATAAAGGAGACAATGCTTCATACTTCTGTTTCGGGAACAGCAAGAGCAAGTGCGCCACACAGCCTAGCACCACAAAACCTCCAACATAATTACGGTCTCCCATTAGCTTTCTTCCAGAAGGGGCTATCCACCACTAAATACCCTTTTTGATTGGTCCTCATAGGTTGTCTCTCTAGAAAATAAGAATTTTAGTGATATGGGGTCGTAAATTTTCCTTCCTGTCTGGTTCTTTTCGTGTCTAACTCAGTCGAGTCTGTCAAACATGGAATAGGCGTAAAACTCTTGAAAACCAGGTTGATATTCTGCATTTGATGGCTGAAGCATACTGTTTTTTATGTCCGAAAAGTGAATATTATGTGACTGAGCGGATACAGACTTATTGCCAATAATGGCCGCTGGCTGTTGATACTTTTCGAACACCTTTTGCCTAACGTCGTCTTGTTTGTATGGCAAAACACACTGGTTTTCTGTATTCTTGAGTATTTCCGTTCGAACTTCTCGCTTATTCCTAATAAATGACTTATTCCTACGTGATACTCCTTTCATTTAATCAGCTACAATTTATGCATCAAGGTTTCGTTGTTGATTAGGGAAGGAATAACCAAAAATCGGAGACGATGACCTAATCAGTTCGTCGCTACTGAATTGTACTAACTGTCTGGTGAAGCAAGAAATTGGGCAGTGATGCCATGGATGGAACAGCTTAATACAGGAGCGCCCCCGGCTACATGTCCTAGACACGTCTATCGGTGTCATTAGCCATGGGTGAGCCGAGTCCCAGAATCCGCATCCAGAACATAAGGGGTGCTTCTTTCAAGATTCGTATGTTTTACCGGGGATGTCCTTGATCTGCTCTTGGATGTGATCGAACCGTTCATCGATAGGACTAGAAATTTCAGATAAACAATGCAGTGTTATACTGTTTCAACTCCGAAAATTTGCAAACCCATAGTTATCTGCTTACAGGGTATTATTCCCCATTTCATTAGCATCTCTCAGCAATGTGGACACCGGCATTGTTAAACATTATTAGCCCAAATGATCGCACTATACTCTACCGCTGCTTTACCCACCCACGAGGACCGTCACGAAGAGACTAGACCTTACCGTGGTGTGACGGTTTGCGCACCTCAGCGATCCATTGAGCTATAAAGAAAGAAAGCGTTCAGCTGTAGCACCCTTCCGGTGCCTAGCTGCCATTCCACCCGAAGGAAGCACGAGGGCTAGGATACTGCCAGGTTGCCCAAGCCTAGACAGGGGAAATAGAGTGGCGGAGGTCGGATTCGAACCACGAACCTTCCGGTCAGTAAATTCGCGCTCTAACCACTTGGGCCATCACGCCCCATTGAGCTATACTGGAGAGTGTCCGGCGACACTCCCAGAGTCTCTCACACCAGGTTGGTCAGTGGTTAGAGGTCTGACGAACACAGTCTCCTGGCCCTCCAGGTTGGGGGTTGGAACGTGTGGC